AAAGCCCGTTGGGGGACATGGGGGAGCCCATGGGAGGATGGCAGGCAGCTCTCGAGGTCCTGACATCCCCCCGGGGAAGGGGGGGCAGCTGGGGCTGGTCTGTTACGAAAGCCGGCTTCGGTGTTTGAAGGAATGTAGGTCAGATTTAATCAGATGCTCACGCCGTCTGACAGCTCCGGTTGCTTGAAAAAACCCTGCTGCTGGGGCCAAGGGGGTGGGAAAAAAGGGGGAAAGGAAGCACATGCAGCTCACCTCCCCCCCAGTTAAAATCAGTGCCGGGTTGTGGGTACGCGCTCAGCGCCGGAGGCCATGAGGGATAAAAGCCAGCCCAGGGGAGCTGTTAAAAGCCAAGGAGTGATGGGGGCTTAATTCAGCAACCTGTCCAGCTTGGGAACTCCTCTTTTTTTGTTCCCAGGGCTTTGCGAAGACAGACCCAGCTTTAACATCAACCCTCCCTGCTCATTAGCCGAGGGTCGGAGAGCAAATCCCACCACTGGCATCTAATGAGCTGGGCGGGCAGCACCCCTGGGCTGGAGGGATTTTGGCAAGTCCCCCCCTTGAACACTGCAGCCCATGGCTCCCTGAAGGCCAAGGGGTGGGGATGGAGCAGCAAGCCCCAGGCGTGCAAGGGTGCCGGGGACCTTTTGGGTGCCGGGAAGGCTGGCCGGGCTGGGATGGGGGATGCTTTGGGAGCACCCCCTGGCCGCTGGCGTCTCTCTCTCTCTCCGTAAACCTCCTTCCCGGCTCTGCTCGTTTCCATAGCGACCCCACAAGTGAAATTTTCCATCCCTGATGCCAAATGCCTGTGGATGAGGCGCAGCCCTCCCAGGGTTACCAAATATAGACACAAAAAAACCCCTGAGCTAACACTCCCGGCCACAGGGCAAGGAGCAGCCCCGGCTGCAAAGGAGCCAGAGGGGAGCAAAAGAAGAGCACGGGGCCGAGCCCAGGATTGCGAGGATGCTCGGCCGCAGCAGAGGGATGACTGGTCCGGCCCCGATGCTGATGCCGGGCATCTGTCCCCACGGCACTTACGCGGTCTGCATGAGCTCGGGGTTGGGCACGCACTGCAGGCGGTGGGAGAGGAGCTGGAAGGCGCTGCTCTGGGGCAGCAGCATCAGCAGCCCATAGAGAGCCTTGATCAGGTAGGGGTTGTTCTTCACATCCAGCAGCTGCAGGCGGAGATCTGGAAGAGGAGAGGAAGAGGATGGGTAAAATGGCGGGTAAAATGCCTTTTGCTTTCCAGTCCCAATAGCAGGTTCCTCCCAACCCATCTGATGGTCCTGGTGAGGCTGCAAGCCTCTGCCAGGCGACCCGAAAGGCACCAGTGGCCTCTCCCCTTGCATTAGCTCATCCATCTTTGTGTCCCACACATGCCAGAAGCCCCTCCTTGCCAGAGCCCCCAGATGCCAGCTAGGAGAGGGGGCGAAGGCTCCCCAGTCTCCCATCCCTGCTGCCACTCACCCCTGAGCCTGTCCCTGCTGCCTGCCCGAGGACACATGCGCAACATAAGACTGCTCCTCAGCTTCTGCAGAATTAGCAGAAATACCATCCCCAAGGTGCTGCAGGTCAGGAGGGCCGGGTCACACCCTCCCGGGGGCTCTCGGGAGCGCAAGGGGTCCTCTCCGCTCAACCCTGACAGTTCCGTGTGCTGGGCCGTGGCGTTGCTCAGCGGAGGGGAAATCACCCTCCTGCTCCACCCCTCGTGGTGCTCAGGAGTAGAAGGGTCTTCAGGAGCCCTAAAAACAACCCAGGTCCCCCCTGGGGCAGCCCAGGGGATGGGGTGAGAGGTCCCGGCCCCAGAATCTCACTACCTGGTTGCCACCAGCACTGCTGGTGTCTCCCCGTGAAGAGACCCACACCTAGGGACGCTGCTCAATGAGGGGGGGACCACATCTGTCCCCCCCCCACCCCCAAGACTTGGAGATTAAGGTAAGCAGGATGGGGAACCCTCAAGGAATCATTCCCACCTCGCATGGTGGGAACAAAAGTCATCCTCGGGATGAAGCCCAGGGCATCAGGGGAGGAAGTGTGGCTGAGGGCCAGCCCGCATCTCCATTGCCTGGCTCCTCTAACCCTCTTCCCTCAAATAGTCCCCCAAATATTCCCCCAAGGAGCCCTGGACCTATACAGTCCCCTCCCAAAGTCCTTTCGGGGTCATTTCTCAATGCCCAGAAGGAGCCCAGGGGCGGCCGAATACCATCACAAGAACCCCTCTCCTCCCCTGTGGCCATGGGTCACCCCACCATGTCCCCCACTCCCCATCCCAGCTCCCACTGCCATGTCCCTGAGCAGCCCATTGGGTCCTGGCTGCATTACCCAGCAGGGGGAACACATTCCTGGGGCTGGGGGGCCAGATCTGGAGAGAGAAGCAGCTCTATTTTTTTTAGGGCTTATTCTTCCTTTTCCAGAAAAAAAAACCCCACCTTTTTTTCTTACTAAGGGTCCCAGCAGCGCCTGCAACACCAGCCTGCATCTCCAGGGGTGGCACACGTGGCGCATAGAATTGTTTGGGTTGGAAAAGCCCTTTAAGATCACCAAGCCCAACCGTTCCCCTAACCCTGCCATCCCACCACCAAAGCTCCCCCCAGCCGACACCCTACCCGTGTCCCCCTGGAGATGCTCAGTGTGGTCCAG